CGGACGATTAGTCAGCATTTACTCGTACGTCTCTGACATCATCAATAGTACCAACGACGTCCATCCGGTGAACGGGTGGCTTCGCTGACCGTGGCCAGTTTCGTCGTTGTAGTTCTCCCACAAGTAGCCAGTGCGATGGTACTCTTTGACTACGTTGCTGACCACGGCGCTGCGCAGTTTCGCGTACGCGTCGAATGCTAAGTCGCGATACGGTCCTTCCTGTTGGCTGTAGTAGTGAAGACTGCTGACAGCCAGGAAGTTCATATTGACCCATATGTTGCCCCTCCAGTAAGGTGGGTCATGCTCCGTGTTGTACTTGTTGTACCATGGCGATGTCTTTGCCAACGAACGTAGACCAAACGGTGTCCACAACAGGTCCGGATCCAACATTTGTTTGATAACCTTTTCGAGTTTCGGCGAATCGTGCGGAATCATTCGGAAGAACAACGGAAACAATGACAGATAGCCGAAAGCGTCAGTGACCAGACGCAGCTGCGGCTCACGCAGGACCACTCGCTTTGTCTCGGTTCTGGACATATGCTTAGACGGTGTGTCATCGACATTCTGCACAAACGTCTTAGTCTCCAGCTTCACGTTCCTCGTATGCAAACCGTAGTCGGCGTAGCGACTCGTCCTGTCGCTCCAATGCAGCGAATCGAGGTGCCTGGGATCGTTCAGGGTTTTGGACATGGCATCGAACTTCGCGAGAGCTTCACTGTCGTTGAACATACGTGACAACTTAGCCATCGTCCGCGAGGATACCGCCATCCAACAGTACAGATCTAGATGGTACTCGTCGTCGGTTGGGTGCGAAGCACGAGGGTAGTCGTCGAGGCCGGATGGAAGCGCTTTAGGGTTTAGTTCCAAGTTCGTTGTCGCGTTTCTACCGTGCCACCTAAAATACCACCAGGTATTATTTACATGCCATTAGTGAATTTCACGGAAGTGCGCAAAAATTAATACATAACTGCCGCATCTCATTTTTCTGTTTCGTCGATCAAGATTTACTATTATAAATCATAATACGTATAAAACATAAAAAC